ATTGCCGCTGCGCTGGCGATTGCAGCGCGATTAAAATAGATTGCCCGCTGCGGCCCGGCGACGGCCTGGCGAGGATGACGTCGCTGCCTAAACACGTCTCTCACAAATACCCCACTGACTAACTGTCTTAGTGACTACCTGACTACCCGTCTTGCCAGCTGGCGCGTGCTTATGGAAAGTTTATAGCTGTCATAAAAATATATAAAAGAAAAAACTATAAAAGCTGAGAAAGGCAGACAACAAAAGCCATGCAGATTCAAATTATAACAAAATGAAAGTGAACCACGTTGCGTATGCGCAATGTTCAGGCTAAATTAGCAAAAGGAAGAGCAATTGCCGCTGCTGCTGCCGCTGCTGCTGCTGCTGCTGTAGCAATTGCTGGCCACATATGAATGTGCCATTAATCAGGCTAAACAAAATGTTTACAAAATGTAACAGCAGGCGGGCAGCAGCTAATTCAAAGAGCCGACAACAGCAACAGCAGCAGCAGCAGCTACAGCAGCCGGCGAAAAATGGTTTTTAATGTTGGCCGCTTTTTGCAAATTCGCGCACCAAAAATGTGCTGCAAATATGTTAAAATCTTGTTGCATGGAATTTATGAATGAAAAGTCCGAGTCCAAAAGAGCCACAGAGCCAGCTTATTGTTGGCAACATAACAAGCAGCAAGCTGAGAACAATGCGGGGAAAACACTGCAGGCAGCCCCAGATTGTTGCCGTTGCTGCTAGCCATAAATTTGTGAACAGCAGCAACAACAGCCAAGTGCAACGCTCGAGCGTGAATTGGCAGACAACATTTGCAGCTTGGCCAAAATGGAAAATGCAACAGCTACAACAACAGCAATTGCTTTTGTTTTTTTTTTTGGGGGGCGTCGTTGTTGTCATTAACCGGGCGCAGCTTGGCTGTCTCGTCTATTTGCTTAGACGCGGCAGCCAACAGTTGTTGCTGTCGCAGCAGCTAATAAAGTGCTCACTTCCTTGAGCCAGCATTATTTATGGCCAGTGTCCACCGACGGGCGGGCCCTTAGCCTTAGCCACCCGCTGTGGGCGTGGCAATGCCATAATTTATCATAGCAAAAGGCAAAAGTTATGTGTTTTTTCCATCACTTTTTGATTTTTTTGCTTTCTGCAGAAACTGAAAACTATTTTCAGTTTTTTTTTTGTCGCTCCCACACAAATCAGGGGGAAATCAATGTTTTGGCCAGACGAATAGGTTCATTCTGGCAGACCCGTTTATCAAATGCGTTATCTTTTCCCACGTTTTAAATGCTCAACTGTCAAATGAATTAAATGAGCAGGCAGCCAGCCGCGCAATTTGAATTAAGATCAACAAAAACGCACTTTGGCAACGGCGCAAGAAACCAGTTTCAATTGCGCGCAACATACACAGGTGGACAAAGCAAAGGCAGTGATATGCAACAACAGCAACAGCAACAGCAACAGCAACAGTTACAGCTAAAGTTGTGCCTACAACAGCAACAGTTGCTGCTTGTGCGTATTAGAAAGCCTGAACATTTGGCCGCTGGGGCGCATCTGTTGACTGTCGACTGGCCATCAATTGTGGTTCTCTGTTTCTCTGCCACGCATAAATTATATGCCCAGGTGACATATTGCGGAAGTGATCAAGCAAGCAGCAGATGAAGCAGCATAAGCAGCACAAGTGTTGTGCCATCTGACTAGACGCTAGCTACAAAGTGGGTTAAAAGGATAATGCTTAAGACTAAGGCAGCGAGATGCTGCATAGACGAACTGCTATTGCTCTGGCAGGTGTCAGACAGATATATAGACTTGAATATAAATACTTATATAGATGCTAAGGTGATTATATATATGAATAGAACAGTGCTTCATACAAATCTATTCGCATTTTTCTTATAAAACTGATCTTGAATTGGAAACAAAAGAATCTCACACGCCAGAACTCTCAACTCTCTCATACATATGATAGCTATAAATCATATAAACTGCTGTTTATATTACCATTTTAATAAGTTAAACACATTGCTTGCTCAATTAATAATACCCTACGCTGGCTATAGGGTATATGTAATAAAAAGTTTGGCTAAGAAGACAGATCTCTCAGCAACGGCTGCTGCTGTGGCTCTGACTGTGGCTGCTGCTTCAAGTGACACAGTGACATGCTAATTTCTCGTTTTTTGCTGCTGCTGCTGCTGCTGCTGTTTGCCATATTTGTCCATATGAAAGTGGTACAAATTGATGCGAGAGCCACAGAAACCAAATGGAGCGACGAGGAGGAGCAGTAGGAGCAGAGCAGGCGATTGCGATTGCCATGACATAAGGCTGATTGACATTTGACAGACTGTCCAACAGTCCGTCTCTAGCTGTCTGTCCTGTCAGACAGTTGACTACACTTTTACTCTCGTGCGTGGCTTTTTTTCTGCCTCTTTTTGCTTTTGCATAAATATTTTTAAACATGCGAGTGGGGGGCGCTGAGCTCGTTTCTTGAGGTGTTCTCTTTAAACATATATATGTATAAATTTATATATATATATATATATATGTAGTTATATAGCAGTTGGTGTTAGTCTTCTAGACGCTTGCACTTTAGCTGATATTATATAATTTATAAAAAGCTGTCAAAACATATTTTAAATGCAAAGCTGACAATTGAGATGCGGCTGGCTAATAGATATTGGACAACTACATTTGAAAGCTGTTAAGTGTGTTTCTGTAAAAGAAACTAATTTTTATTATGAATTATATATTTTATAAATAAATATATATATATATATATATATATATATATATATATATATATATATATATATATATATTGTTATATAAACTGTAGCCAATTGGCAGCTTTAACTCTTTTAATATTTTATATTCCATCACTTTGCTGCATAGAGTTTTTTGTGTTGTGTTGTCCCGACAATATTTTATTATTGAGCGCATTTTTTGCGCTTGGTTTCTCTTGCGTAACAGCTGACAAATAGCAAGAGCATAAACACGAACTTCAAACTAAGCCAAAACTAAAAGACACATAAGCAACGAAATAATAGTAGTAAAAACTGTTTTATATGTTCGCTTCAGCATCTCAAGTCGAACTTGGATCAGGTCAAGAATTGGCTAAGCTATGCAAAAATCGCTGCTCGATTGAAGCGCTTTGCCCCTGTTCCCAATTTCAAATCGAACTGTGCCGCTCGATTGCGCATTCGATCGAAATTGAAAATGAAAATGAAAATCGAAATGAAAATCAAAATAACAAAAAGCAAACGGAGCTTTGCGTCAATGTCAATGATCTGTCAGAGCGCGGGGCAATCGGACAATCGAGCAATGCGACCATTCGGCAATCGCGGCCGGATCAGTGCGATTAGCGAACATGTCTGACTATAGTCAATACCGGTAGTTATCGCTTAATTGAATCAACTGCCGGCGGCACATGCACATAAAACAAATCCAAGCCCAGGCCCCAAAGTCAAGCGCCAAAAACTCTTTATGGGGCGACATTAAAAAAGCAGCAGCCAGTGAAATTTAGCTGGCAAAAAGCCACATAAAAAATGTGGGCAGCAAATAGTTGTTAACAAGTGTGAGCAAGGCGCCGGACTAGTAGTTACCCTGTAACTAGGTGAACAACTCAAAAGTTTTGATAGAAATTTGGTAGAATACTTGAAGGAGCTGCTACAGATTTTTCTGTTGGGCAAAGTTGATCAGAGATAAATATATATATTCTGTCTCTTAAGTATCTATATGAAATATATATAAATAAATATTTAAAAGTACAAGCAGACAGTACCACAACTTTATCTCTATCGACTGCTAAATCTTCATCTAAAATATCTATCTAAATAAGTAGCCAACTGCTGAAGGCTTCACAGTCTGGCCAGACAGCTCAGCAATATAAAGACTATTTTCAGCTGAGACACTCGTCTTCGAGCATACCCCATTTCTGGTTACAGGGTGCATAAAGAGTTTAAGCAAAAAAAAACAGAAAAAAGAAAAGAGCTTTTGGCTACGCTACACAAATTCAACCAACCGCGAAGAACGACCTTGAACAAGTCGGTTATAGATAGTTATATATGTATTGGAAAACCACTATATACATATCTATCTATGTATATATAACTATTTGTAAGATTGCAAATTGTAGATACAGTTAAAAGCGCGCATAAATAGCATTAGATACGCGCTGCTGTTGTATCTTTATATATTTATAAACACACTTGAGCCCGAGTCGAAGTCGAGAGATTGAGCAACGGGGTAGCTGCGGCTGCTGCGGCTGCTGCGGCTGCTGCGGCTGCGGTGGCTGATGCCGTTGGCTTTCAAAAGTGAAGTGCGCACAGCTCAGCGCACAATTAGTTCTACATAACAACAGCAACACGTCTCGACTCGCTGCGATTCAAAAAAATGAAAATTGAAAGTAACTGTGAGATACATTTTTGGCTCATTTGCTGTCGCTTCGCAGCTGATGATGACGAAATCGTTCAGCCGCAGAAATTATACTGCGCTTAATGCTCTGTAGGCAAATACACACTCGCACACACACACACTTCAGAGTTTTTTTTCGCAAGTGTCACACGCTGCCAAAATGTGTTTTGCTGTTTGCTATTCCTTTTTGGATGCCAAGCCAAGTGTTGAATTCATTTTAGCTGCCAGCTGCTTTTCACAAGCATTCACTTTTAATTTCATATGAAAAGTGGTTTGAGAAGCCGTTGTGCATATAGAAAGAAACAACAACAACAGCGAACACTAACTATAACTAACTTAGTCAATAGCTCAATCGATTCTCCCCGTTGAAAGATGCTGGGCTATTACTTAATTAAAGCCGGCTTTGCTCTTTATTTTATAGCCGCACAGACAATTTAATTTCTGTGTCCATTAATGCACAGCGAATAAAACTGAAACTCATGCTGAGTCGAAGGCTTAGATCTTGCGTCACACAAATACACACACACACACATATATATATATATATATATATATATATAGAGGTATATCAAAAACATTTACTGATTCATTATCCTTCACTCTTTTTGTTGCAGGTGAAAATCTGGTTCCAAAATCGTCGCTCGAAGTACAAAAAAATGATGAAGGCCGCTCAGGGTCCGGGCACCAACAGCGGCATGCCACTTGGCGGCGGTGGACCCAATCCTGGTCAGCATAGTCCTAATCAAATGCACAGCGGTAAGTGTTCGACTGTTCAAGTCGATCACATTTATATATCATCAACTAATACCCTCCATGTTTCTTTGCTCCTTTCACTTGCAGGCGGTAATAACGGCGGTGGCTCGAATAGCGGCTCACCCTCACATTATCTACCTCCCGGACATAGTCCAACGCCATCAAGTACGCCTGTGTCTGAGCTATCACCCGGTAAGTTTGCAAAAAAAAAAACAAATACTCAGATATAGATATATGACAAATATGAGAAGTTATAGAAAAAAGAAAATTTATGAAGAAATTCTCTCTGATCTTTGTAAAATTTAAAACATTTAAAGTTGCAGAAAAAATTAAGTTTTTCAATTAAAAAATCAGAGATTATAAATAGTTAATAAAATGAGTCAAAAAGCTAAAGTATTGCACAAGTTCTTTAGAGTTCAAGTAGTCCAAAGTTTTATGTTTTGATATCCCTCAAAGAAGTCAGCTCAAACTCCTTAAATTTATGAATCTCTTATCAAACTCTACTAACTCACGCTCACTTCTCTCTCTCTCTCTCTGCTCCCGCCCTTAGAATTCCCACCCACGGGTCTTAGTCCGCCAACGCAAGCGCCATGGGATCAGAAACCGCATTGGATCGATCATAAGCCACCGCCGCAAATGACGCCACAACCACCTCATCCAGCGGCGCCGCATCCGCAATCGCACCACCACAATCCGCCACCACAAATGGGCGGCTACGTACCCCAGTATTGGTATCAGCCCGAGACGAATCCCTCATTACTAACGTAAGTTGAAGAAAACAAAACAAAAAAAAGACCACAAATCCGAGCAAGCAAAAACATAACGAAAGCTTTCATAGCCAATAACTAACTCAACAACTGTTGTACGCTTCTTTTCTTTGCTTTCTTCCACTTTATTCAATCCGTGCAGCGTGTGGCCGGCGGTTTAACATCACCCAAATCAACTGCATCCGCCGACGCCTTCGGCTGCGTGGCCGCAGTCTACGCAAACGCAATGCTATGAGACGAGGCCCTGCGCCGAACTGAATCTCCATCACAATCATCATCATCATCAGCAACAGCTGCAACATCAGCATCATCATCATCTACATCATCATCAGCATCAACATCATCATGATGAGGTATTCGTGGGCGTTGGCGACGGCGTCGCAACGGTGCAGTGAGGTTGACCCCAAAAAATTATATATATATATATATATATGTATATGTATATATATATATATATAGATATATACAAATCTTAGCCAATAATTAAATATTGATTGAGCATATGAATTGATGATATATATATATATATATATATATATATATATATATATATATATATATATATATATATATATATATATATATATATATATATTTAAAAGAACATTGTAAAATATTAAATAATAGAAAGCAGCTACATTTTGTATATGTGAATGAGTCGTTTTACAGTTAGTCTAAATAAGAAATTAAAAAAAATCAAAACAAAATAAAAAATTATAAAAATAAAAAATAAAATACAATAAACAAAACACACAGACAGAAATTCCTCAATTTAATTTTATGCGTGTCCTTCATATTGTTTATATATATAAACATATATATTACTATATAATTTTCTCTCTTTGTAAACTATAGCAAATTGCATAAATTGTATATGAACAATAAAAAAACTAAATATGAAATCAGCTGTTGATCTTAAGCCTTTTTTTTAGAGCCAAGCAAAGGTCTAATTTGTTTTTGTTTCACACTTTTTTTGTATAGATAAAAGAAAAGAGCGACAAAACACAAAATGAAAACAAAAAAAGAATCAGTAAAAATCAGATCTCAACGGAACATTTTGCATATAATTTTTGATGATGTCTCAAATGCACTCGGAACAACAATAAAAATATTTAAAAAAAAAGAAAAATAAACAACAATTAATTTTTTCATGTTATGTGCAATATAATTAATAAATGAAAATAATAAAATTTACAAAAAACTGCTGACAAGTTCATTAAAAAAATTAAAATTAAATTCAATTGTGTAAAAAAGGCGTTTAATAAAAGTTTTTATTGTAAATTTGTGTAAAATACAAAAAAAATAATTTAAGCTAAACTAATTTTGAAAAGAACAAAAAATTGAAGAAAACAAAATAAAAATTTCATAAAAAAACACTGCATAAAATGTAAAGTAAATTTAATTAAAATTAAAGGCAAACAAACAATAATTTTAATGAAAAGTTATATATATGTATAAATATATACATTTATATATATCTATATATATGTATAATTGTAGTGCTTGCTGTAGCTGTAATTTGTAATTTAATTAATTAAGCGGTAATTAGTGCTTGTGGTTAACTGTAGTTTTATTTAAAGAAAAAAAGAAACAAGCAAATGCACAAAACAAAATATTAAAAAATAAATTTATTTCAATGAAATTGTATTTAGTTCTTTATGATTTCATTTGCATTGTAAACTATTAAATTAAAGTAAAAAAAAAAACATAAAATAAAGTAATATAAAAATAAAGTTAAATTAAAAGGCAGAAAATATAGAAATGTATATGAAAAGAAAACAAAATATATTATGTGCTAGCATTTAATTAAATAGTTTTAATCTAGAAAATGGCAACTACTTTCTAAATAAATCAAGACAACAACAACAGCAAACAGATATATATAGATATATATGTATGTCAGACAGAGAAACCAAGCGAAAACCCATTTAAGTTGTAGTATTTGTCGTAATTTTTAAAATCTAAACAAATCAAATCAAACGAAACAATAAAAAACACAAATCAAATGAACGAAAAATAAAAACAAAAATAATTATATATATATATACAGAAAAAAAACACACAAAAATTAAGTTCAATATTTTTGAATTACAGCCACTTTGCTGGGGTGTTCTTTTTTATATTTATCCAAGGATTGGCACGCGGCGCACATTAATGCATTTACATTAAATGATTTTACACTCGAAAAAAAGAAAGTTAAGTGGCAACCGAGTACGGCGTCGGAAGGAAGCATAAAATCTGTTCCATTAATCATAAAGAATGCAACAGGATATGCTTGAGGCTTACAGGCTTTTACAATCTGTACGCTGAATGGTTCCATTATGTGCTCAAAGTCGCAAATTGCACAGAGTAAGAGAGGCAGAGAGAGAGACAGGGGATGCTAGCGCAAAGAGATAACTGCAGAGACAGTGAAGCTGAAGAAGCTGACGCTTTAACAGCCTTCAAGTGGCTGCCAATTGAGGCCATTGCCTAGACAGATTCGCCATATTATACTAATTTAATTTAAAGTCGAACTCTTTATACCCTGTACGCATTGAAAATGTGCAAGGCCAACTACTCTGGGCTAAATTGATCAATTTCTTTGAAATCTATATGAAATTCAGTTATTTCAGCACAACTTGTACCTTTACAGGGGTAAGTTTATTAATTTTACTTATATTCTCTAGCAAAAATATTGACTTTATTACTCTTTGAATATATTTTTGCATTCTCTACAAAAGTGTTCTTCAAACAGCTGCCTGAAGTGGGCTTCAGGGTATTTCCTAGTCAGGCATTCCTTTTGGAACCATTTTTTACTTGCTTTTAATTAGGCTGGCTATAGAGCTGTCTGCCTTTTGCGCACACTCTAATGCACTTACAAATATAATTGAATTTTTTTAAAGCACACAAATGTATTTTTTGCTAATATAATTTTTTAAATTTTTATTTACATAATTGAAAATAAAAAAATATTTATTAAAGCTACAAAATAGATTAGGCAGGCTTTAATGCATGTATATATACTTATATACACATATCAGACATGAAGACCAAAACAAAATACGTCAATCAAGCAGCAAGAAGTTTTGAGTTTTGAGTCCTGCCACAAGCACTTCACACACAACACACGCACACACACACAGCTCACTCGAACTTGTCTCAAGAAAAGAAACTGCGAACAGAGGCCTCAACTGTCGCCTACTTGACTCTTGTTTTTTGCTCATTAAATCAACACCTTGTGACCATTGTGGCACCGAGTACAATGGGCATTGAGGCCTGTACAGATTTGTTTTGGTTTAAAGCAAAAGAATTTTGGTTGTCGCAGAGGGATTTTTGCATTTGAATGTTTTTGCGATTTCAATTTAAAATGAAAAAAAGAAAACGGAATGTCAAGGCATGCCACAAAAGGTGCGCAGCTCTCCCCCTTTCTCTCTCTGTTTAAGTGGCAAGTACTTGGCCTTTTGACTTCTTTTTTAATTAATGTCATTTCTCACTTTAGTTGTGCAGTTAGAGATACAGATACAAATGTATCTTGACTACGAACTGCAGTTGACTGCTCAAATTACTTGCTGTACTTAGCGTGTTTACATAAATTAGCTGCAGTTGCAGTTGCAGTTGCTGCTGCTGCTGCTGCTGCTGCAGTTGTTGCCACTGCATTTCGCAGGACGTCAGACAAAAGTTTGTGCTAAAGAATTTCCTCGTAAAAATGACGCATACCAAACTTAGACACAACGGGGACAACGCATCGTCGTCGCTGTCGCCTGACGACCGATCCGTTCCAAAACTCAACAAGGCTCTACTTGTTGTTGTTGTTGTTGTTGTTGTGGCCAGGCCCTGTACCAACCGGGCCCAATACCAAATTGGTATTGGTGTGTCGAGCAGGCGAAATACTCGTACAATAAATAACGCAGCAAAAGAAAGAAAAACTAAAATAAGAAACTACAAAAACAAAGAGAAACTAAAATTGGCTAAGAAACGAATGTTGAAATACTCTACTTTAATTAGCTTGACTAAATGGAAAATGAGTCTGAAATGTGTGGATTGAGTAAAATTATAAAATATATTTTTTATTATTTTTTTATATTTTTTTATTCAAACTTGCATCAGACAAAATATCAAAAATTGCTTCAAATACAATACTTTTAAAGCCAAAGCAGCTCTATAGATTAAAGTTTATAGGTCCTTTTACTACTTGGCTTTAACTAATCATATATATTAAATAAAAATTTTAGAAGACATATGAGAGAAAGATATCATAATTCAGTCTTACGCTGGCAATGCCAGAGGCTGAAGCTTGGCTTTATTTCTTTTAGGGCTTGAGAACTCTCTTTGAAAACACTTTCGATCTTAATGCCACCCTTTGAGCCGTCGCATATATCATATGAAAGTGCATATACCCTTTGGCTAGCGCACAAATGATTTAAAAATAAAAAACAAACAGCGCAAAGAGCGCTGCAGTTGAAGTTATTTGTGAAATTCATCCGTCAAAGTCGCTGCTGCAACCAACGGCCCTGGCTGCTCGTCCGCGCTGTCTATGCCGTCCGCTGTAGCCATTGGCTACTGTTCGCTGGCCAAGTCGGTCGTCGTCGTCTCAGACTTTGGGTCTTTGGCTTTGAGTTTTAGGTTTGGGGCTTGGCGTAAAACTTAAAAAGCGTTCCTTTCATGGCTTTGCCATTGTCTTTTGGCCGGCTACTGGTCATGCCGCGCTGTGTGCTATGTGGTAGCTGCCTCCTCCTGCTGCCCCATTCCACTTGCTCTGGCTCTGCCTGCCCCTCCCCCCTCTCCGCTGTGGCATTCCTGGGCACCGTTCGCTTGGAATGATGAACGATGTGTCGCTGATGACCTGATCAAAGTGGAGCATCTGCACGCATATCGATTGCACTCGGCTTGGGCAGCAAACGGACTAGGAGGCCAGTCGGAGGGCTGCTGGGGCGCTGCTGCATGTTTAAGGACATGACATTTTTTGTCGTACCGTTTGCTAAAATAACTTTGTTAAGATTTTTGCAAGTTTGCAACTCGCTTTGGGGGCAGACAAAACTCAGTCACAATTCGCTGCGAAAGGGACAAATTTGACATGGCAGGAGTAGCAGCAGCAGCAACAGTCGCAGCAGCAGCAGGATACAGAGTCAAAGCCTTTGTTTGCTGCATTTCAATGAGACGCGATAAATCTTCAACTTGCCACAGAGCAGCGCTTTGGGGGCAGCCACTGAAGCTGCCTCGAGACAGTCAGCCAGCTGAACAGCTAACAGACAACGACATTCGTTGCTCTTGTTGTTGTTATTGTTGTTCGTTTTTAGCCCGGTCAACGAGTCGCTGACCGATTTTATGACAAATGTATTTTATGAACTGTCAAAATAGGTGTTGAAAATGAATTAATTTGCTCTCGACTCGCTGGCTGACTGACTGCCTGACTGACTGACTG